AGGGGCCCAAGGTCAGGAATCCTGGCTAGAATATTATTCCACCCTCCGCCTCTACCGCAGGAACCACCTCTATGCCTCCTGAAACATTACAAAGATGCTATTAGAATTGTTTCTGCCTCTCACAGGATTATATCTGAAGGTCTGGCGAAAGCCCAGTGCACTGTAACTATTTTATTTAGTCTTGATGCAGTCTATTTTGTTTTCAAGTGCTCCAACCAGACTGCTTGGCTTCAAATCCCAGCTCCACCACTTACCGGCTGTGTGACCTAGGGCAACTTACTGAGCCCCTCTGCTCCTTCTCACTTATAAAAGGTGGATGATAAAAGTTGTAATGTGTAGCATTGTTGTGAGGATTAAGTAAATTAATACGTGCAAAATGGTTAGAATGTGCCCGTCATAGAGTAGGCACTCAATATTCCCAGAACAAAGCAGAGCCTCCTCCCACAGTGGATAGGGCACAGGGGGGACTGAGGGTACAGCCAGCATCCTAGACTTTGCATAAACATTGCCTCACCTCCTTCTCCTGACACCCCCATTTACCCTCTCTGAACAACGAGGAGACTGAGCCCCGAAAGCCAAATCTGCCTGGTGTAAATGGAGGGCCTGGGCTGGAATCCAGACCCCCTGCCCCCCTGTCCCCCGCTCTTTCTGTTTCCTTCCCAAAGATGTTGGTTTGCTGGCCTTGCTGTCCTGTTCTCCACCCCAAACTAGGGCCTTGTCTGCCTTCTCAAGCCCAGTCATGCCCTCACTCTGACGGAGCCCTGGGAAGCTCAGGCCTAGGATACAGGTTCCAGGACACTCACATCCTGAAAGGACGTGAACATCTACTGCTTTTCATCACTCCTGCAATCGCCTGTCTGTGAGACGCTGTCTAATTAACAATGATCACCATAATCATAGTTGCTTTTATTGCTTACACTGTTCTAGGCTCTCCAATAACTTCCCCTTTGAATATAATATTTGTCATAATGGAATCGTGCTATGTGGCACCAGACATCGTGTAACCCAAATCAGGCCGCGAGCTGTGGGCCCTGTGTGTAAGTCCCGCCCCACCAGAGGCAGCTGACAGGCCATTACTCTGTGTCCTGCACACTCTGGGTGGCGATAAGAAAACGCCACCAATTTGATGCTTTATCTGGTTGCAGGTTGAGGCAAGATATTATTTCAATCAAGATAATGATTCTATTTCTTGGGCGGAAATGAGATTTTTTTTCCATTGCCTTGTGGGAGTGCCCCCAACATCTGTCTTGGGCTGGAACAGGTCGAGCCAAAGTTAGAGGATTTTCTTGCAACCTGAGAGAGAGCATCAACATGAAGGAGAACTGGAAGCAAGGGGCTCACTTGCAAGAGAAAAACATACATGCCCGGCCTATGTGGTCCCACAGTAAGTTCTATGAGGACATTTATAGGCATTAGACAAAACCTGGGAAACCAAAATTGGGAAGATAAGCACGCAGGCTGAGCCCCATCTGGATTTCAAGGGAGGCAAATGGCCATAAAGGCAATAACAACAAGGAGCTGCACAGACCAGACTCTCAGAGCCTCCTAAGCCTGCCTGTCATGTAGGGTAGATTTCCTGAGTGACTCAGCTGACAGGTGACCCAGCCGCTCTCTCACTCTCTCGACTCTCAACACCTCTCAGGACATCTCCTACGACAGGGAGCTCACCAACAAAAGAGCCTGTCCATCATGGCCCCACCCCTGTGATGAGAAAGCACCTCCCAATTACAGTCCAGTCTCTTCATTAAAGGGAACCACAGTGAAGATTCACGCGGTCTGACATGGATCTAAACACTCTTGGGGAATAGTACACATTTCGGTAAGTCATCGAACTATATGCAGATGGCATGATGTGATAAATGCAGCAGGACTGCAGTAATCTGGATGAAGAGTGAATTCAGGGAAGTTTAAAATTATTTTAAATGTTTGGAAATTTCAAGGGCTGTACCACAGCATCTCAAACTCTTCATATGTGATTTGTCGTAATGAGGAAATAATAATTGGCAATTCTGATATCAATTGTTTACATAGGGATGTTAAGGAGTTTGGAAATGCTTGTAAGTTTTTATGGATTTTGAACATTCCACTGAGAGCTGACTCAAGGAATTGCTCTCTCTCCACCGAAAAGGCCCATTTCAGCTCCATCCCTCTGGAATAGCATGGCTGCTGCTGACTCATGGGGACCTATTCTGCACCAGAATCACCAAACCATTGAACTCTTAACCACACCTTTGTTGGGATGCATAAACCATCATTGGAAAGTAACACAGAATCCCAGAAACAATGTGAAGAAGACTGCACAGTATACTTTCTGTACTTTTGAATTCAGAGCCATGGTATTGTATTAAGAATAAAATTAGTTAAAAGGCACACAGTGTGTCAGTGAAAACGGACTCTGACACCATTGATTCCTATTTGAATACCCCCACTCTTTAAAATGCACTTATTAGAAGGAAGATTACTGCCGGGTCAGGTGAAAGCTCACTTGGCTGTCTTCACAGCAGGGGCGTTCGCAGACATGGTGGCAAATGCAGCAGATGCCCCACTCAGATCCCCTCCACCTGCTGGGCACCCACTCCCCAGCGACTTTCACCTGTGATGGACTCGGGCCCCTTCTCATGGTCAAGATGATGCCTGGAGGTTGCGCCAGCAGCACCATTCTGGGTCCCGATGGCTAATGAGGGGATAGATAAGGCCTCCCCTTGCCTCCGGTACAGATATCTGCAGTCCAAGGCACATGGATCAGGCCAAGGAGAGACCTGCGCTGTCCCATCCTTGTTCAGCCACTCCTTCCCCATCCTGCTTTCCTCTCTCTGACACGTGTTCCCTGGACCTCTCCCTAGATCAGCCGTGGGCAAACTACGGCCTGCGGGCCGGATCCGGCCCGTTTGAAATGAATAAAACTATTGAAAAAAAAAAGACCTTACCCTTTTATGTAATGATGTTTACTTTGAATTTATATTAGTTCACACAAACACTCCATCCATGCTTTTGTTCCGGCCCTCCGGTCCAGTTTAAGAACCCATTGTGGCCCTCGAGTCAAAAAGTTTGTCCACCCCTGTCCTAGATGCATCCAGTGCACCTGAATCCTTGTCTCAGGCTCTATTTCCAGGGAATCCACCCTAACTCAGTCACCAATGGCTCCAAATGGAGCCCCCCTGTGTCTTCCCAGAGGGTTGCCCCCGGTGACAGGAGCACACATGATACTCCATCTTCAAGGGCAGAACCATAATCGCTTTCCTGCCCAGCCAAAGACCACGAGGCTGACACCATGTATCCATGAAAGCCAGCAGAGCAACACAGGGACCATCCAGAACAGAGAGTTCCCCAACCAGACCCCTGCGGGACCACACGAGTCCTCTTCCTCCCCAGAATGAGGAGCAGGAGGCGGGGCAGACCCAGAAGGCCTGTCCGGTAATCAGATATCTAGTTACCTGCCGCAGAAAGTCAGAAAGTCGGTGTGAGCATCAGCTCCACCACTTATTAGCTGAGCGAACTGGAGCAAAACGTTTAACTACTGGGAGCCACAGTTTTGTCACCTGCACAATGGCAATACCTGATGGAGCACGTGAGGCCCATGTGAGGCGGTGTCGAGCGTGATGCAATTGGCGACTCGACGTAAATACTGGTGGTGGTTCTTGACATTTAGAACTGGCTAGTTTCCTCTGGTTGCTTGGAACAAGTAATTAATTAACGTCTGTGAAACGAATAAAGCCCAGGTGCCCCTCATTCTGGGCATAGCATCACAGAGCTCCCTGTGGGAGAAGCAACTCTGGGGACAAGCAAGTGGACGCAGGGAGACCTGTCCCGGTGACTGTCCATCTCGCGCTCAGGGTGCGTCTCCATCATTGATGTCATGGTGTCTGGAGGCCTAGGCTGCAGCTGTCTGGGGAGGGCTGTGTGTGTGTGTGTGTGTGTGTGTGTGTGTGTGTGTGAGAGAGAGAGAGAGAGAGAGAGAGAGAGAGAGAGAGAGAGAGAGAGAAATATAGGGAGGATCCCCAATGTGAATTTCCTATAATCTATCTAGTGTATATAGTGACATCAAATACAACCTTGAATTTAGGGAAGGTGAAAAACCCATTCATGGCATGAGTCACAAACTGGCAGAAACTTAATTTTATTTGCAGAAATGAGGGGCACTTGATTCCAGCCTGACTCTTTGCACATGGACCATTTATGAAGCCATTCCAAGCCCTTTACCACCTGGCCCTGCCCAACCTCACCAGCTCCCCATCAGACCCAAGCCTGACAGCCTCCTCGAAGGCCACTGGTGCTCCCACCCTGGTGCCTCTGCCCCGCTCCTCCCTCCTCCACCAGCCCCGTTTGAGTCCCTCTTTCCCCAGGAAGTCTTTCCAACTGCTCTTTGTCACCAGCATTTCTGCCTGTGCCAGGGGAGCGAGTGCGGGACGGTCTGCCCGTTCATACAGTGTTTTGATGGTCTCATGTACAGATGTCCTCCCTCCCTGGACTGACAGCAGCTCCATCCCAGAGCCCCAGCTGCTGCCTCTCTTGTATTTCAGAGGCTCCAGCCAGTGCCAGATATTCTCAGCTTAAGGAAAGGTTTGGGTCATAGGACTGCTCTTAGTTTAACACACTGTTAAAGGGCCTATATGAGAATTTACTATTCTGAATAGGGTCAGCCTAGCACCAAACTTAGAATTGTGCAAACTGTTTGTGGCTTCAATGTGAAAAAAATGCACATCTTCCTCAATCCTGGAGGAGTCCTGCTCTCCCTGTGCCAGCGACCACAAGGGAGGACGCTCTCTCAGGAGCCAGTGGGAGTGCTCTTCACTTAGAGAGCAGAGCTGGGTTCAAACCATGAGCCTTCCACTCAAAGCCTACAGTCCTGGTCCAGCCCCACCCAGCCAGAGGCACCTTCCAGAAGAAGAGCCGAAAGCCAATTCCGTCAGGTCATGCTCCCTTCCCCAAACAGGGAAACCCGCCCACTCCTCAGGAACACTGTCAAACCACAGACCTAAAAAAGCAAAATTCATACTCACAAGCAACAACGCCTTTGTCTTAAATTTCAGGCCAGTAGTTTCTCTGCAAACCTGCTCATTTCCTGCAAAGAGAAGAAGCGGATGGAAAAGCATATTAGCATCTGCTCTGAGCATCCTTCGGCAGTTTCCTGGCTGACCTCCGGCTTCTGTGCCTTCCCTGCATTCTCACTCCCAGCAGCACGCTCCCCTCCCAGGAACACCGTGTGCTAGTTGGGTGGGTGCCCCTGGCTCCCCACAGGATCCCACCCCTCCCAGGCCGTGGGCTCCATCCATGCCGCCTCCCTCCCCCTCCCCGGCGCCATGCCAGTCTCAGATTGACCACTGCCTCCAATTCCCTGAAGGCACTGGGCTTCTTCCCACTCTGGAGTGAGGCCTCCTCTGCTGTAGCATGGGGTTGCCTAGCAACCCTGCTGCCAGCTCGGAAGGCCCTCCTAAATTGGACCTCACAGCACAGGGCATCTCCTTGTACAGCTGCCTGAATCTTAACAATCTGGTTCTGAATAATAACACAATGGTAATTGCATGCATGGGCCCCAAACTACATTTAAATAATGTTCAAGAGCTGACACAAACCAACAAAGGCCAGAGAACACATTGTGAGGGTCGGCTCTAAGGCCAGGCAGGATGCTCCGTGTGGGAGGAGCTGACACCACAGACTTGAGTTAATGACAATGCCAACCTCAACGGTGAATCCTCCTGCCTTCTGCCCGAGTGTGTCACCACTTTAATGTGTTTTAAGTGACTTGGGGGTCTGCAGAGGCAATTAATGCCCAGAGGTAGTGATGCTTCAAGAAAGGATGTCCTTCAGTCCTTCTTTTGCAGGGAGTGGGCCGGGGGGATGGAGGGGTACAGGACAAGGAGGGAGAACAGTGCATGAGCGATTCCCTTGGCTTTTATAACTATAGCCTAATACGTTTCAGAAGGGGGGAGAAAGGACTTACCAAGAGAGAGAACCAAACACTTGCTACCTTAGTGAGGGACAAATTCCACATGACTGATGTGTTTCAGGACAAGACGTGAAGGCGAGGAGGCCTTGACACTGGCCAAGGCACAGACCGAGCAGCTTAGGGGGTGTGGGAAGGCCACATGGGCCAGAGTCCGGTCTTCACACTGCATCCCTGGCGGAGGATAATGACTCCGCTGAAGGCAGACAGGCCTGTGCACGTGGGCAGTGGCCAGCTGGCAGCCTGCTTCTCGTGGAGCGATAGCAGCGAGGGCCAGCGATCGGCCCTGACAATTTGAAAACCTAAAACACATTTTGGGGAAGAGCTCAAAATGCTCCTGCAAGGGACTTAAGCAGATATTTGCACACCCACGTTCATAGCAGCATCACTCACAGTCAGCAGGAGATGGATGTAATCCAAGTGCCCATCGATGGGTGGATGGGTAAACAAAATGTGCTATATACCTACAATGGAATGCTATTCAGCCTTAAAAAGGAAGGAAATTCTGACAAATGCTACAGCATTGATGAATCTGGAGGGCATTATGGGAAGTGAAATAACCCAGACACAAAAAGACAAATGCTACATGATTTCACTTATATGGTCCCTAAGCAGTCAAATTCATAGAGACAGAAAGTAAAATAGAGGCTACCAGGGGTGGGGAATAGGGAGTTAGGGCTTGATGCGTACAGAGCGTCAGTCTAGGAAGATGAAAAAGTTCTAGAGATGGATTGTGGCGAGGATTGTGCAACAATGTGAATGTACTTAATGCCACTAAACTGTACATTTAAATATAGCTGGCAACTTAATTTTTTTGCTATGTGCATATTTTACAATTTTAAAAATGCCTCTGCAATAGAAGTGCAACCTACACAGCATTTCTCTGCAAGACTTCTGTCCATATCCACAAAACCCTGTTCTCAAATTGGCCTGAGCCATCCACAGCTCTGACAGGGAAACTGTCACCAGGACGCAAGGACACACTGGAGAGGAGGGCTTTGGGCCAGGGAGACCGTGGCTGGCAAGCACGGTGCTTATGCAGCATCGTCGCAGGCAGAGGTGTCAAAGGTTGAGAAACAGAATTCTCTGGTGCCCACCTCCACCATCACCCTCCAGAATGTGGCCTCCTCGTACCCAAACAGTCCCATTCACCATGTCCTCTGCCTGCCTCCTTCCCCAGGCACGTGGGCTGCAATGGCACCCCCATTGTTACCGTTGACTAACTCTGTGCTCCCTGCCTAACAAGCCCTTTCCAGTGCCCCCCACCCGACCTAATCCTACTCTTTTTCTTTTTTAAAAAACTATTTTTATTGATAACAGAGAGGAAGGGAGAGGGAGAGAGGGAGAGAAACATCAATGATGAGAAACAATCACTGATCAGCTGCCTCCTGCATGCCCCACACTGAGGACTGAGCCTGAAACCTGGGCAGGTGCCCTGACTGAGAATCAAACTTCGACCTCCCAGTTCATAGGTCGATGCTCAACCACTGAGCCACACCGGCCGGGCAATCCTACTCTTGCTAGTGGACCTCCATCAAGTCCCTCTTCTACCAAGCCTTGTAGATGCCTCCCTCATCTGCTTTCTCTGAATGTCATAGACCTCAACAAAACACTTGCTTGGGTCCTCATGTCTGGAAGTGACCCCTCTCCCAAGAAATCCCTAGCAGGACCCTGGTCAGGGATCGTCACTACATTTTCATCTACCACAATCCCTCTCTCAAGGCTGAGCACTCAGTGGGCTGCTCAAGGCTGCTGGGGGCGGCCCTTTCTCAGGGAATCTGATCACAGCTCTCCTGCTGCGGGGGTGGAGAGGAACACAGCAGTGCTGGCCGCAGAGCCCTGCAGCTAAGCACTCCAGATGGGCATGCGTTCTCACCAGTCCTTTAGAAGTGTAACGCAATGCGTGCAATAAACAATCGAGCATTTACAGATTTTATTAATTTGGAAAGGTTATTAGAGCTAACAGCTTCTCCGAGTGAGAGTAAATGAATAGCATAGATTATTTTTTTCAGGGTCCCGATTCTTTTCTTGGAATGTTCTTTAAGCCTTAAAAAATAGTGTAATGCCCGAACCAGTTTGGCTCAGTGGATAGAGCATCAGCCTGCAGACTCAAGGGTCCCAGGTTCAATTCCGGTCAAGGGCATGTACCTTGGTTGCGGGCACATCCCCAGTGGGGAGTGTAGGAGGCAGCTGATCGATGTTTCTCTCTCATCGATGTTTCTAACTCTCTATCCCTCTCCCTTCCTCTCTGTAAAAAATCAATAAAATATATTTAAAAAAAATAGTGTAACAAGTAAAAAAAAAAGGGGGTGGGTGGGATCCAGGCTTTCGAGACAGGAAAAGCCGGATGGGAGCTCTGCATAAGCCTCTTCCCCTCTCTGAGCCTTAGTCTTCTCTGCAAACGGAGGGTGTGGACGCCAAGGTTCCTTCCAACTTTAAACAAAAAATAAAATTACGAATCAAGGTGAGAATGTCAAGTTAGCAACCTTCCAGGCTAACAGCTACTCCCCTGTCCTCACCCATCCTCCCAGGTGTGCCCCCCCCGCCCCCCAGAGAGGTAAGGTGTGAGCTCCTGACCCCTTCAGCCCGCAAAAGAGCCCTAGTGACTGCAGGTGCCTCCCCAGGCCCCGGCTCTCAACCCGACCGTCTGGCTGCCTTGCTCTCATTAGATCATTAAGGAACAGTCTGGACTAATAACTTGTTTTCTCGAATCTCGAGAAAGGCTGGGAATGCGCCAAAGGGCATCATCTAGAGTAGACTCTGTCTCCCCAGCCCCTGGCTCCGGGACCAGTCCATGCTGTCTGTCAAGGGCCAGACCTCTGTGGGCAGATAGCTGCTCATGCCCCCCACTCCCCCACACCCTCCCCAGGAGAGAAGGAAGCAGCCTCCAGGGACCGCAGGGCTCCGGCCGCAGCCCGTGTCGTGGGGAGAGACAGCCCTCGCCCAGACTGTGCAGGCCAATACTCCTTCTCTCTAGCCTCGCCCTCCTTCTCTCTGCCGTGAGGGTACACAGGCACTGGGACGCTGTCTGCAAATGTGTGCCCAGCAACACCATGCCCCCACCTCTGGAATCAAAGCTGACGACTCACAACACTAATACTAACATGAGCAATGATATTAGTTAATGTTCACTAGTGTTAGTGCGATGCTCTATGACTTGAAAAAAGCACAGGACGTAGAGTTACATCTGATGAACGTATAGCAGCGGTTCTCAACCTGTGGGTCGCGACCCCTTTGGGGGCCGAACGACCCTTTCACAGGGGTCGCCTAAGACCATCATCGGAAAACACATATATAATTACATATTGTTTTTGTGATTAATCACTGTGCTTTAATTATGTTCAATTTGTAACAATGAAATTGGGGGTCACCACAACATGAGGAATTGTATTAAAGGGTCGCGGCATTAGGAAGGTTGAGAACCACTGACATATAGTAAGTTGAAAACATCGTCAGTTGAAAGTGCATTTCATGGCACACTGCAGAGTATTGGTTCTTGACCCCTGAGATCATGGGCTGACTGGGAGCTGTGCCAGTGCCCAGCACTATGAGCAGTATTGCTTGCAAATTGCTAGCCCGGGAAAGGATCAACATTCAAACTCTGAAGTACGGTTTCAGGTGAATGCATCACTTTCACACCATCGGTCAAGTTGAAAAACCCTAGTCAAACCATCGTGAGTCAGCTACCGTCTGTATTTCCCCACATACTTGCCAGGCACCTGCTGCAGCCCAGGGGCTTTGCTACCTGCTGGGGACGCAGACATGAGGAGGTGTGGTTCCTGCCTGTGGACTCCCTCCAGGGAGATAAGGCACAGAGAAGCTGAGTGACTGTCTCAGAGTCATCCAGCGAGCGTGCTAGCCCTGCTCGGGCCAAGCCCTTGGACTCAGAGGCCTTTCCTAACTATTCCTGCATGGCCTGCAAATCTAAAATAATAAAAGCGTAATATGCTAATTAGACTGGACAGCTGAATGACCTTCCAGACGTCCTTCTGGACGACCTTTGGAATGAAGTCAGGCCTGCCATGGCTGGGGCATGTTGACATGGCTGCAAAGGCCAAAGAAAGTTGCTGAGGCAAGCCGCTGCAGTTGCCAGGGCCGAGCCCCTTGCATGTATTCCA